AATCGTTCAAGCCGTTCCGGAGGAGTATGGTAACTAAAACTGTGACACGAGAATTTTATATATTATATGTTATATATTTTTACATTATAACAATCAACAATATTCATGTAATTCATAGAAATAATGTTTTATTTGAAATGTACCTAAAAACAGATTTAAATTATATAAATCATTAATTTTAATTGTATCCGTAGAATTAATTTTGACAGTTGCAATGGATATCGATAAATATTTGGATTTCACTGGTAATAAGTTAACAACAAAGTAATGAAATGAATGAAAACGATGTCACAGTAGGCGTACAAAGTAAATTAATTATATTTTTAGCATCGAAGAGATTATGTATCCATTTAGTTATTTTTATATTCGCCATTTCTGGAAGCTGTGAAATTTAAATCAATTTAATCTCTAGCATGCTTTTGCTGCTACGTAAATATTTTATATAATATAAAAGAACTCGTTTTCGGCAACGCGCAAAAGCATCATAGTGATATAGTGATTCACGACCAGACCATTGTTGAAAAGCCATAAAATCCCAATTTTAAACGAAAATAAAAATGAGAAAGCATATTAAGGCTAGTACAGGTTTCTACTTTATAATACAATGCTTTCTATTTTATCGGTCGGTGAATATATTAGACAGTGTATCCCATGTTTCACTTAAAGAAGCAGGAAGCGCTAAAGAGCTCTAAGATTCAATACGCTTTAATTTCTTTTCTTAGATTTTATACAAATTTAATTTACTATCCTTTCCTACTATCATCAGCTTAATTTTCGCCTAACTTACAAATGTGCTTTACGACGAAAAAATATGTACAGGGCGATCAAAAATGATTGATTTGTTCCTTTGGTTGACAATAAATTTACAACATTAAAATATTTATCGGCTGTTATCACTAGCGTCAGAACGAACCAAAAATTAAATAATATGACCTTTTTTACGATATTTAACTTTTTTTTTCAAAATGTAAGACTAGTTAAAACGACATGAAAAATAAATAAATTGAATAAGTCTATTAAAAAATTTAATAAAAATGTTTGTTACCAAACCAAACCAATCCAACACTTAAGCAGCATTAAAAGTGATCAACATCACCAATTCGAAGTTGGTCAAAAAATGGTCAGAGAAGCTGAACAAATTAGGCAAAGATAATAAATTCCTCCGATAGAATCTAGCTAGAAAAGCAGCGAACACTCCACTAACTGGACCAGAACCGTTCTGCTTCCCAAGGGGAAACCAACTTTAACCGGAACTGAAGAACCTGGACAACTTCTCTTGTGATTATGTAAGTGTTCCTTTTCCATGTTAAATACTATATTTGTATTGCAAAATAGTAATTTTTTACATTAAAAAATATTTCGATTTCACAAGTAACAAAGTCAAAACTCGTAAATTTTCAAGAAGATAAAGAAAAGCTAAAACTGACTATATATAATTCCTGATCGCGCCATAGTATGATAAAAACGGAATAAAAAGAAATAATTTTTAATTGATACAAATACTAGAATGAAATTGTCTTTGAATGAAATCTGTATTTAAGTATTTACTGAGGTTTTGGCTGTATATACATAGATATATTTTTTTATTTTTAACTTTCTATATCCATACTTAGATATCTGTCTGATGCCAATACTATGTTATTTAAAATATGGTTTATCTTTTCTGATCATTGTGACAGTTTAATAGTTAGAAGACAGGGGTACATTAAAAATCTTGTCAGATATATTATTTCTACAGCCTGAAGGTGTTAAAGAGGGATTTCCTAACACGTATTAATTCCCAGGTTAAAATATATTTTCACTATCTCCAAATATTTCGTTTTATACCTTTAACCCTTTCGGCAAGCTTAAATAATGGTTCGGATATAAAATCCGTTTAACAGATTATACAAGTAAGAAGCTATAGAACGAAACCTCGAGAATAGTTTCAAATAAATTTGTTCACTTGCCAGATAGACACTTACTGGTTTCTTGAGTTTAAACAGATTATATCGTGACTCTCGGTTTCTGAAAATAATGTAATGTAACTAAATATACAATGTGTTTCTTTTTGGTCCTTTTTACTGAAACGGTGGAGGAGAAGCTAATTTATTTTAATTACTCTTATCTTTATCTTGCGCTAATTGCAGCTTAATTAATTTATTCTATCCCTATATCGGCTATTATTGGGGGTAAAACGATGATTAAAGAAACCCCATTTTGTGAAATATTACGGTTAATTGAAGTGTTGAAGTGTTACTAATTTGTTTAATTTGTTACGTGCGAACTTTACGGGATTTTAGTATAAAGATTATTCTATTTCTCGTTTAACTTGAAAATGTAAGCTGCTGTTAAAATTAGCATATTTCGTAAGTTTGCATATATTTGTGTCTTATGGGATTATAATTTCATATTAAAGGATTATCTTAAAATATAAAAACCTTCTATTGTCTGATTTAATTTAAAGTTATATTTTAATCGTTCTAAATTAGCCTTAAGTGCTAAATATTGGACCAAAGTAGATTACGGTAAGAAACATTTTAGACAATTTAGAGCTTAAAATATTTACTATTATTCTATTTTCTTTATTCTATTGATAAAATCATTATAATTTTATATTTGTCATGATTTAGGTTTTATTTAGTTTAATTTAACTTAAATTTATTTTTTAATTATTCAAAATTAAGGAATAAATAAATGTTGGTCGTCAAATAAATTTATAGGAGAAATATATTTGTGTAATGTAGAGAGGCATTTACTATGTTAGTTTTTTCTAAGATCTTTTATTTTATTGATATTAAAGAACTTCGTGCAAAGAAGGAATTAACAGAATTTTATTGCGTTTGCATGTAACAAGGTGTTTGCCTCTGTTTTCTTGTAGCTCCGGAGATAAATAGCATAGTTTTGTGATATAGTTACCACTATAAATATTCGACTTATTTTTTTTGGTTTCAATGAGATTATTTTAATTTAAATGCTGTCTATAGCATTATATTTTTCTGTTTCGGGGAATGTTACCATTAACATAACGTATTATTTTAAGTAAAATGATAAAATACTTAGTACACAAATTTATCTGAGGTAGTTATGCTCGAAAAAAAAACATTAGTAATGCCAATATTGTTGTGTTTTATGAGACTCAGGTTATGCCATTGCCAATTTTGTGGAAATAGAATTATTAGTATAATTAATTACATAATATTTAGAAATCGAAAACAAATGGAAAAGTAGCCTTGTTATACTGTTCTAATATATAAAGTGTATTAAATCATTTCTAAATCATAACAGGTCTGGATATGAATCACGTTTGCTTATATTTATTGGAAAAAGCTTCAGATTATAGTTTTTTTAATATATTAATAAAGGTTTAAGTATGTATTGCAATACATATATTATTTTTTAAATATATTTCGCTATATTTCCCTTACGGTTTAGCATATATAAAGTATTTTTTAGTATCTGGGCATTGTAATGAATTGTTTTGATTTAGAGTGGGACAAAAAAATGTCAAAAGTGAGTATCAAAATCTGCTTTACCTCATACTTTACGAAACAATAGCTTTATTTTAAAATTAGTCTGCTAGTAATTTAAATATATTAATGTTGTCTATTGCATTATATTTTTTAGAATAATAAAATAAAAAAGTAGCTGCATAATATTTTTCAAAATCATATGCAAAATATAATTATATGTATATAACATATTTTGCTAATGTAATTAATTTCATTTTTATTAAAGTTTAAAAAATACTATATTGTTGTACTGTGGTAATTTTAGTTTACCAACTCAAATTAAAATTTGTATTTTTGATTGTATTGATAATTCAAATTCGTCACCTTAAAGGCAAAGGGATATGTATTATGTATGATATAGAAAAGTAAAGAGGAAAGTATGAATAGTATATTATATGCTTTTTTGGAGTTGATATATTTAAGATTTAATTCTTTTAATAATAATATGAATATATTATGCTGTATTGTGGTGATTCCTATATTGAAAAATATTTTGTCTGCCATTTATTAGTATTAAAGTAAAGCCCTATACTCACTATGCGCTGATGCGGTTTGTAAATACGTTGACTTGAAGCGCCAATGCTTCAATGCGATAAGTTGTGCGGCGCGGCGGTTCGCTGAGATGTCAAACGAACCTACGCATCGCATCGACGATCCGAATGATGCTCACTGTAGACATGGACGAATCAAATCAACGCATCAGCGCATAGGTTATGTTAGTTCTATATAAAACATTTTTATTTTTTATTGGTGATATATTATTTTTAGGTTAAGTTAAGAAACTAAGCTTCAACTTCGCCAGTTGTAATTTTTTTTAAACTTCGCAATAAAGTTTTTATTATTTTATTATTATAATTATTATTATTATTTAAAACATTACAAAAAAATTAATATTTCTTTTAACTGCTAAACTTAAAAAATTAATTAGGAGTAATTTTCTGTTATATGATTGTTTATAATTTGAGAGTGATAATAAATAATCTATTACATATATTATTTTATCCGTAACTATAATGATAAATTCCAGTGGCGGATACAGAGAAGGGCCCATGGAACCCAGGCCCCCCTGAAATATATAAGTTGGGTTACATAATAGGCTTTTCGGTTAAAAATGGCGCCCTGAAAAGTATATTCTACAGTAGTTTTATTTGCCCCCCCTCCTAAAATAAATTCCTGTGTCGGCCCCTGATAAATTCACATATCTTATAATAATAATTATAAGTAGTAATTTTATTTATTGCAAGTATATAAGAATATTATTACAAAGTATATATCCCCAGGAAGGGACTGCATATCTCGCCGAATATTTACGTCTAAGGAGTAGCTATTTTGAGGATGGCATTTGCCAAGAAGGAGCGCAATTATGCGATGATTAAGTAAACACAGAGTCTTTTTAATTAAACGGTTTAAAAGTGGAGATAAAGGATATTAAAAATCTACTTAAGAAAGTATTTAAGTTTTACGGTTTAAATAAAAAACCGTGCCATGTTTAAAGTGATTACGACTTACCTTCGCTAAATTGATCGAAGTTCTTAATGACATTTTCGGCATTTTTCCTCGCCTTATAGAACCATTCCGATGAATTGCTGAGATAATTGTATTCGACTGCAAGGTCTTTTACCAGAATCCCCCCTTCGGGCAGACGATAAGCGTAAGGACAAAAGAGCAAGTAATCTTTGTACTGGTACTGGTCGTAGCAGTTGCCGGCAGCAAAGATAACATCGTCGAATTCAACCATAGAGAACACAGAGGCGTACAATAAATATTCCGAGTCCATCACTTCAGGCTCGGCATATTTCCATAGTCGGGTTAACATGTTAGCTTTATTTACAGCGACGTCTGCCTCCACGCGAAACCTTTCTTGGGCGTATCCATCTACCACCCCTTCTTGCAGGGTTAAATTAGTTCCGGCAGTGCAGTTATCCCCCAGCAAGTGTTGCGTCTCTACTATTCTTAAAAAATGCGTTACAATGTCTACGTCCTCGCCAGCAGCATCAAAAGTTCCGTTGCCATCCTGATCAGTCTGATTAAAATCATACCCCATGATCGTCTCCCCCGAGAAATCGCTTAAATATAACAACGAGTTATCATAGAAGTTGTTATTAACAGGTTCATCTGTGTCAAGATCAGACCTTACGATTTCGTTGTCTGTCGTTGATACTTTACCAACCATCTCTTTGCCCAGCGCAGATACCGTAACGTTGTCTTCTAAAAATACTGACTTCTCATTAATAAATTGTTTGATTCTCTTTTCAGCATTCTTGTGGTTACGATTACCCGTTCTTCTGAGTCGAATTAGGCGCGATCTTTGGTGTCTAATTTCGATCTCTTCGTCAATTAGATCTGCGGCGAGTAAATTTATTAGTAAGAAAATAGTAGCGAATTTGAGTTCCATCGTCGAGTTACGGAGAGGAAGATGTCATGTTAATCGAATTTTAATTTCAAGTGGATTCTACGTAAGCTGCCGGGGTGCGAGTTAAAAGTTTCATAGTTGGAGAACTGGAGAGATCTCGACGCGTAATCGGTTGGAGAGGGAGTGAAGCTCTGAGCGACCGGATTGCTAGGGCACGGGTTTTAAACTGAGCGCTGGCAAGAGCGAAATACAAGAAGGATAAGATATCGCGACGGCGCGGTTTCGTCTCACCCTATATATGTTTCTAGTTTTGTTAATTAATCTTAACTTATTCTATTATCAGATTTATAAAATATCCATTCTTACGATATATAAATAGTATTTATATGTCGTATGAATGGATATTATTATGTATTCATTAAATATATAATATATAAAAAAATAATTCATATCTTAAGAAATAAACATTTATTATAAGAGATCCTTTAGTTATCAAGTATCAAAAAATGTATATAATCAATCAATTTTCAGTAACAATCAAAGATAATTCTCGTAAACTTTTTAAATTTTTTATAATAAATGTTATCTTTTTTCTCTTTCGTTGAGATAGGAAGTTATACTTCAACTCCGTCTTTTGTAATAATTTATGTTAATTGTTGCAATAAAAACTTTAATTATTACTATTATATATACATACCACTGTTGATTGTTAAAGCAAGGAGAAAATGCAAACAAAATGACAATAATATACGAATTTAAGTGCATCAAATTTTGCTAAAAAATGCAAAAATATGCAATTATTCTAAAGGTTATTATTATTTCTTTAATTTTTACGTTACAAATTTTGATAAGAATTAAACATCAAATTTAGTAAAATTAATTTCACAATAGTACACCATATTTTTTTTGTTTAATTTTTAGAAAATACAATTTTTTATTAATTTCATAAGACTATACCATATGGCCGAAAAAAAATGGCGTCAAAGAAGGCTGGGAAATGACAATCAATGATCATTTTAGGGAGTTCAATTTCTAGACATCGTTTACTAAAAATTTACATAAAGTTTAAAATAATTAACATAAATTTTGTCAAACATTAACATAAATTTTGTCAAAAATTTACACTAAACACAGATTAAAAAAAGACTGAACCAAATGAAAGTCTCACACAAATCTATTTCCAATTTTTTTTCTCGAATTTTAAATTACGCTGTTCAAAAATCATTACTACTCGATATAAAAATAAATTACATTTTTTTTAATGCCAACTGGCAGCAAACACCATTAAAAAATAACAAAATTTCGCTTCAGGTAAGTAACGTCTTTGGCGCCGTTTTTTTCGATCGTATGGTATAATAAAATATTAACATAAAATATTTGAAAAAAAAATGCAAAACAAGCTGCTTGATTGAAAAAAATCATTTTCTTCCAATGAACAAAAATTCCGTGCTATGTTTTTATTTTTTCATCTCTTTTCTAATCTAGCGCCTACTAAAAGGAAGTTGTTAAGGAAAACATCTGTCAAGGATCTCTTAATTTTATATACAATAATTCATATTATGACTGTATGTCTTTTTTGTTTAATTGTATTTTAAAAATATAATAAATTGTGTGTTTTTAAAGTAACAATTTATATTGTATTGTGATTTGTAAAATTTCATTTTTTAGGGAATTCTTAAGATATTCCTTTTCTTATTTAGTGCAAGCCATAGACAAATTTTTAAGACAACAATTATAACCTTTTTTAGATTTCTAAATAATGTCTAAACATTTGTTGCGGATGAATTTCCTCAAAAAAGACTTCTGGGTATTTCGCCACTAGAAGAAAATTTACGGAATGAAATCGTTATTTTTTGTAAACACCGCTGTTAAATGTTGATTCAAGAAAGATCAATTTGTCAGCAATATTTTACTAATAAAACAAATTTGCCTAACGGAGAAAAAAAGTTTCAGGAGGTATACCTCCTTCCGTTGCGCATCGTAGGAAGCTTTTTTCTTTCATATATTTTCTTCTAGTGGCGAAATACCCAGAAATATTTTTTGAAGCAAAAATATTATAGCTGTTTAATAGTTATAATAATTTTTAATAAAATAGTTATTATATTATTTCATATACATATTTTTATTAATTGAATAATTATAACGAATATTAAAAAAGATATCCAATAATATTCATAAAAGTAAAAGATGGAAAAGTTTGATTAAACAAACTTCTTAAGAACTGCTCTAAAGTTTTGTTCAGATAAATTTTAGAGAATTATTAGAACTCGTGGGGGTAGATTGGTTCACGGGTCGCTCATGAAAATCACTTTCAGGAGTAACACGCTCCACTGAAAATCCAATACAATACTAATCATGGTGTGTATATAATCTTCCTTATCACATCAGCTTATAGGCTATGCTGGAAATAGCTACTGCTAGCTACGTTTACTCTATATGAATAATGTCTATATTAGTTAGCATAAAATGTGGCGTGTATATTTTTATTATTTTATTTAGTGACAATATTTGAATATATCCATAAAACAAGTTTCTTTTATTTTCTTTCTAGTTTATAGAAGGAACGAATAGTTTTGTATGAACTAAAACTCGTAGAACAGAATCAGTAAGTCTAGAAATAGATTGAGACGCAATTTTATGAATAATACATAATAGCAGAATGCGATAATCGAGTAAGATAATTGCAGGCAAGAGCGGTTAACTAGTTTCAAAACCACTTACAACATCTAAAGGAAATTAATGAAGCAATAATTAAGAAAGTTGAAGGCAATAACTCAGTTAGGCCTACGTAGAGTTAATATGAAAGCTACCATTAAAATAACATATTATTTTTTACGTAAATTGATAAAATACCTAGTATATACAATTTTATGTCAGGTAGTTACGCTCAAAATCGGACATATTATTATTTTTGTCTAATGTATTTTAGTTATATTAATAACTGTTGCTTTAGGATAATCTGATAAAATATCCCTAAAAAATATCTAGATTAATAAATTACAAAAAAAAATTATTAGTAATGCCAATGTCATTTTTTATTGTAATTTGTGAGAGATAGGTTATACCATTCTCATTTTTTTGGAAATAGAAGTATTATTATTATTACTAATTACATAATTTTTAGGAATAGAAAACAAATGGGAAAGTTAGCATCGTTATACGGTGTTGAAACATATGTAAAGTATATTAAATCATAACTGATCTGGTTATGAAACACGTTTTCTTACATTTATTGACAAAATTCAGATTATAGTTATTCAAAAACTTCAGATTATAGTAGTAATATTTTTTTTTAATAAATTAACAGGTTTATGTATTTATTCTAATACATATAGTATAGTATTTTTAAAAAATATTTAACATCACTTGTAATATCATACAACGCTGACAAGCGAACCTTTGGGTCGGCGTTTATGTACAGGAGTGAGTCGTCATGGCAATCTAGTAAGTCGGAGTGAGCAAAAATACGAAGTATTTATTATATAACTACTTAATCTGACGCTAGTTTCCGTCTTTATTCAGTACATCTTATTTTACTAAGCGTGTTGACCGTATTCTTCGTACACATGAAAACCGGCACCCAAGACCAGAAATGCCGACCCTTAGTTTACAGGGTGTCCCAGAAATAAATGCAAGTATTTTAAGGGGTGGTAGATTTCGATAAAAGAAACATATTTTCTTTTTATCGTTTATCAAATAAGTCCAAAATCACGGAGTTATTTTACTTTGAAAATTTCCAAAATTAAATGATTTTTGCTAAAATTTTGAGAACCACTGGATTTTTTCTTTCTTGTAAATTTAATCTAAACCCTATGTTGCCATATTATCAAGAAATTATGTTTTTTTACTATACTACCAGTTAAAATACTTGCACTTATTTGTGGGACACCTTGTATAAAGTATTTTTTATTATTTTGGCAAAGTAATGAAGCATAATCCGAATTGCAACGCTTATTTTAAGTTTATCGGATATTATACTGTTACCTATTTGTTTTTTATTTCTTTGTTTTATTTTTTGTTCATAATTTTTCTATTTCTTCCTATTGTTAGTACATCGAAAGTTTCTAAATTTGTATTAAATTTATGTTAGGCATTAAATTAGTACCCGTTTAAGTTTATATATCCATGTACCATATCTGTTTTGCAGGTTTAATTAAAAATAAAACTAGGACCGCTATAACAAATCACATATATTTTAAATATTCCTCTATTGGGCTTATTGCTAATCTCTGAATATTTTATTTAACTTAATTAAAATACACAAATAAAAGTTGGCAATTAAATTTTGACAAAATCATATGAAACAACACAAGATCTATTTCAAAAAAAATATATTTACACAATTACCTAATGTGTACAATACTCATTTCACTGTTATTTCGTATAATTGAATAAACCATTTCCTATTACTATTTTTTGTTTAGTTGGAAGTTTTATTAAATTAGTAAATCTCCAAATTGTCATAATTGCGAAAGGGTTTAGATAAAAAATAATACTTGAATACTTTACATAGAACAACAGAAAAAAAGAATCTATAATTCTTTGCTACAACGCATTTGGAAACGCCTATAACTAAAAAATTCATGAATAGAGAAGTTATTCTCATTCAGGTAATATTTTATTTTTAAATGCATAGATAACAGGCTTTTATATCAAAAGTTCCGTGCTCACTGGATGATTTTTGTAGACATTTAAAATTTCATGAAAGTTTTATGTAGGCACCTAAAGGCTATTTGCTAAATATAATTTTTTATCTCGTTTTCTATACGACTATTCATATAAAGTTATTTCGCAATTCATACATTTTTTATGTATGTTATCTAACTTGTAATTATCTTTTTATTCATTTACTTTCATAACTGCGCGTATAGGTATGTCTGCATTAAAAATATAACATTTTATATATTTATTTAAAAAATATTATTTCCTTTCATTAAATAATAATAACCCAGTTCTAAAATGTAATTTCTAATTTAAATATTTTTATTTATAATTAAGTATTGAACTTATAAAGGGTGTCTAAAAAACACATGCCATCTCTTGTTGATATCATTGTCGTTCCATAAACGCAAAATCACAATTAATAAAATTAAAATAAAATTTAAATTATTTATTTTATATAACTTATTATTAAATTTTATTAAAATTTATAACAATGATGTTCAGTCCTACTTATAGCAAATTCCCAAATAAATACAATGGTA